CTCCTCCTCCTTCTCCTCCTCCTCCTCCTCCTCCTCCTCCTCCTCTTCTTCCCCTCTTCTCTTCTCTTACATGTAATGATATTGCGAAGCTGCGTCATTAACCCAGGCGATCAACGACACGCCAGATGGTTGACGAGAAAGTGTTGGTCCTTTCCTTGTCTTGCTCCGAGATCTTATAAGAACAAACACAATCACCGTCCCATCATGATATCATCCCCTCCCCCCTCCCCTCCTCTCTCCTCTTCCCCTCTCGTTCTCATCCTCTCTCCCCTCCCCTCCCCTCCTCTCTCTTCCTCCCCTCTCTTTCTCCTCTGCTCTCCCCTCCCCTCCCCTTCCCTCCTCTCCCTCTGCTCATCAACAGACCGTTCAGACTCTGACGAGCTGCTGTAACCTTCCTCTTCATCCTCCTCCATCAAACTCGCCATCCGTTCACACAGCTTCTGTGCATGAGACAGCAGCAAGAACGCATTCGTCTCTCTATCTGCAACAAACATCGTTCGACCTCTCTTGTCAAACATCAGCAACATCTCTACCTCTTTTCTTTGTTCGTTCTCTTGCTCCCCTGATATGCAAACCATCACTTACAGTGAAGTTGAGGTCCAATACAACCAGACACAAAACAAATCAGTTCGTCGATGGCGAAATTTCCTTGCAGCTCAATCAACGCGGCTGCATCAGCAAACTCTTGAGCTCTGAAACGATTGCAGAACTCATCGGCAGCAAACAAAGAGAGGGAAGTTGGGGAAGAAGAAGACGAGGAGCGAAAGGATGTCGAGGAGAAGGAGGACGAGGACGAGGAGGAAGAGGAAGAGGACGAGGACGAGGACGAGGACGAGGACGAGGAAGAGGAAGAGGCTAAGTATCTTCCTACCTGATCAATTCATCAAACTGCCCCTCGGCAGTCTCATCGTCAAACACAGATCTCAACACCTCGAAGCTCGGAGCAAACGTCTCAATGTACTCGACAGGAACTGCAAGAACATTCACCAGAGAACAACAGACGCACCAGGGACCCCCCAAACCTTGCCAGTGGAGCTTCGGGGAGGCGTTGAGAGACGGAAACTTGGTTTTCGTCCGAACAGGCTCTCTGTACACCCTGCTTCTAGACCTCAACATGCCATCCTCGTCCATCTTGGAGAAGCTGATGAAGCCTGGAGTGTTGTATCTCATTATCCTCTCCTTCATCTTAGAGTAGAGACTCGGTAGCGCAACCCTCGGGATATCGAGGCCCCACGAAGGTTTCAACACGTCGTATCCTCCTCCCTCCTCAGCGTCTTCCAGCTGCCCTCCAAGGCTCCCAGTGAGGATCTCGTTGAGGTCAGGCGTCCTGTGGGCTCTAGAGATCTTGTGAGATCGCTTGTTCCTCTCCTTGGCCCTCCTGGCCTTAGCAAACTCCTGCGGCAACAATGAGCGGGGGGAAACAGGGACAGACCTTATGCAAGGTTTCGGATCTGACCTCAGCTTCTTGGATGTTCCGATCGCGTTGCTCTGCCAGCAGACGCTCCTGCTCCTTCAGCAACTTGACCTCTCGGTAGATCATCCTGGCCCTGTGACTCCTCCATGCCCTCGCAACAACCCCAGCAGCCTTGGATCTCTTCTGCTCTAGAGTTGTGAACTGAAAGCGAACTGTCGGCATGTCTGGCAATCGATCTTCTCATTCAGCTCCCATGCAGGCTTCTCAGCTCGGCCTTGTCGTCAGTCCCCTCTCCAGAGTTCTCCAGAGTCCCTCCCACCATGCTGCCTTGACTGGTCTTGACTTTCCGTTGTCAGGTTCAGCGGACTCAGTTTTTACTACCGGGAGTCCCGGGCGGGCCGCCGGGGCCCGGCTTTCACTGAGTCCCGGAGTCCGGGCCGAGTTCCGAGTTCAGTGCCAGCCTGGGAAACGTAACTGCCGGGACTCCCGGGCTACACCGTCCCTGTCACAGACATATTGATGCTGTAAAATCACTGACGGAATACAACTGTGACTGACTGGTGACCAGT